AAAGAAAAAAGAAAGAAAGAAAACAGGAACTTGTTATAGCAAGACCAAAATACTGAAATAAATTTAAATTTTTTAATTGAAACTTATGGATCTGTGTTTGGATATTCACGATGCCAAATGCGATATGGAGACCCAAGAAGGTATTTAATCAAGAAACCCATTTAACTGCACCTCTATTTCTGAACCACATACAGACGAGAACATCTTTCTCAAGTAATAGCTCTTAGCATCATGTGGCTGAAAGAGTTCCCTGAGTAGAACACGAGCAGTGTGGTTCTAGGCAATGGTTCTCTTTCCACCAAGAATAAACGAAAAATCCCCTGAGTAGGGGAACCAGCAGATATTTAGGGCTGTAAAGCAGCCCTAAAAATTTAACCTAGTTTGTTTTTGTCAACAGTAAGACCAATGCTAGCACGTTCCATCCCAGACTGGCACCTGCAAATGGTTGTTGGGGTTGAGGAGAATTCCTGACACCAGGTTTTTGTGCCCATGTAGAACGTGCACACACTCTTCGGTGGTACTGCTATAAACCTTAATGAAGTCTCCGGAGACACAGAAGATATACCTGGAGAACAGAGAGAGAGGAGAAAAGCTAAGTCTCACATATTACACAGAGGGCGTGATCTTTTGGTGGCCTACTATAAAGAGAACAACAACGCAAATATCTTTCAAAATAGCTTAAGAACTGTCAAGTGGATGCGTTGCTAAACTTAGGAGGATATCGAAGGTGGACTCATCGGTTAACGGAGAAAACCATGAAGGCGGCAGATACAGAATCGCCCCACAAACAACTGGGCGACTCCCTTGCCGAACGGCTGCAGGCACTGACACCCAGCTCCTCTCCCGTGGCTCACGGCTGTACCATGCTCCAAAATGCCCCACGCTGACCGGAGACAGCAGCTCACAAATGCTGAGTTAAAGGCTCCGCTCAACGGCGAGGTCCAGGCGCTCCTAAGTCCTACCGGTTTCCTTTCCACTTGCTGAAACGCTGATTTTTGTCTAAAGCTTTTTGGAGCTGTGGCTTCCTCCCACAAAGCTGATGCTCCTTCCCAACCCAAGCGGTTACACTCATAACTCTAACTTATCATAAGGCTCAAAGCAGTGAGGACCAGGCTGACTCTCTCCTCTATGCTCCCCAAGCTCTAAGTATCGCTGTCCAGAGGCTTTCACTACTAGTAGGCGTCTCTTCAAGATGATACAAGGTAGCGGCCTGGATGCCAGCTGACATGCAACAGACCACCGAGCTAGGCGCCTTTGCAAAAGTTGTGTGCCTACACACATTTCATTCTTCCCAAACTGTGGGAGGCCGATCATCTCCTAGAGATCTAACATCGGCTTTTACGTAAAGTTCCGGAAAAGAGGCTGGCAATAGAAATGCTTTTCTCCGGGACGTGGGGGGACGGCGAGATCATTAGAGAGAGGTCTAGCTCCTGCACCCCGATCTCCCGGCAGGCAGGGTCCGGGGAGCCCCAGGCTCACCCATGCAGTAGCCAGGCCAGGCTGCCCCGGGATCCCCGGGTCCGGACACGCGGAGCCCAAGCTCGCACTCGGCCTCCAGTCCCCTCCCCGGCCCGCGGCGCCCCGTCGGCCCCGTCTGCCCGCGGCTCCCCGCATACTTAGAGTCCGCCGAGAACACGGCTCTCCTGAAGTTCAGCCGGCTGCCGCCGCAGCGAACCACGCGGACCCGCTCCTCCACCATCTTCGCGCAGGCGCAGGAGCCGCCGAGCGCCGGCCTCACCATCGACTTCCTTCCCGGGCCGGCTAGCCCGGGGCGTGGGTCTCCGCCGCGGTCCACCGCGGGCTCCTCTAGCTCCCGGACTCTATGGTCAGTGTGGTCAGCGCCGCGCCTGCGCCGCCATCTTTAGTTTGGGCACTGTCAAATTAAAGCCGCTTGTAGAAAGGGTGGAGCCGAACAGCAGCGCACAAAATTAAATCTTACCAGAGACCGCCGCGGTTATTTAATACAAAGAGCTATGTCTTCGGCCTCTTCAGCTCGCCCATTCTGTCTCTGTGAGCGACAGCCGGCGCCAATTATTATTATTTTTTTAAAAAATTATTATTATTTGGAGAGTAGAAAGAGACCTTTCTTTAGCT